TGTAGACATTAATATCTTTTCTTAAAAAATTACTACATAGTTCTCAATCTCTTCCCTAGAAAAATAATACTCTTCTAATACTTTTAAATACTCTTCTAACACTTCAAAATAAAGAAATTATTCAAATCAAGCCTCTTCACTGAGATTGTTTAAGAAATTAATTATGCCTTTGTTACCTTAGGATAAACAGACTAAAGAGTTGGCCAGGGAGGGACATGGGAGGCATGTCCTACTTTTTTACCTTGGTAGTAGTTACATTGTTCACTGTATGATTATTTAACAGTACATGTTTATGTTTGTGTGTGTGTGTGTGAGTGTGTATCTCTCACTAAAAAAGAACAAATAGTATGTATTTTTAAACAGCTTCCTTTACAGAAACTTCTCTAAGTAAAGCAAACTAAATAAAAATCTAATAGAAATTTATTCACTCTAACTGTCCCTTTTAAAGACTTTAAGGAACAGAGATGGAAAAAAGCAAAAATAAATGAAATACTTGCCTTACTCTTATTTACATCTTTCAAGAAAAGTCTTAATGTGGCTAGATACACTTAAATCATGTTTTCTAGTAAAGCATTAAAATTAATACCATTTAATACGGAAATTCCCTCTTTTTCTAAGTTTAAAGATTATTATATATAAAGTGTAAAAGACACAGATTCATTTCCTTTTTATTTGGCTTATATTTTCCAGGACTTTTAAGTGTTTAAAGAAATGGCACTTCCATGGTGTCCTTTATTTTGGACCTATAGTACTTTCTATTCCTTCCCAAATATATGACTATGCCTTTATTTGTACCAAACCATCTCCTCTGGTGACTACAACAGAGGGCTCCAATGTCTCCTCTTCATTCTGCAGTTAGAGCGATGCTTTTGAGCGGTTAATACTGTACCCCTATTCAATCTGCTGAGAGGACACTCTTGGAATACTGATTCTATTGCTTAAGGCCATTTCATAAGTCCCCCAAACAGACTGCCATTAAGACCATTTCTCTCTCGAGGAGCTGGCAGTTAATGACCATTATACTTCTAGCTAGCAAGGGAGCAGTTACTTCCTGGCCGTGTGTCTTTAGGTCAGCATAATTTTATCATTGTCTACGGATAAACAAATAGTATTTTAGTCTGTATCTCTTAGATTAGAAATGGAAACGCTCTAAGGGAACACTATTTTAGTAATTTGGCTTAGTTTTTTTTCACTCAAACATCCTCCTTTCAGAGCTATCTGTCAATCTTCTATAAAAACCACCATAACTAAATATGTTTGTTCCTTTTCTGGTTTGAAAAACACAGAAGAATGATTCTTTAATTTTCAGCTCTTCTTTCAAAGACCTTTTTAGGGTAAGAAAAGTCTTATTTTAACTAGAAACAACCAGATACTAGTTTATTACACCTGCAACAACTCTCAAAAGAACTGTACAAAAGAAAAATGTGGCTTCCTCTTCCAAAAGTTATTAGAGCTTTTCTGTTTTTTTCTTATTTAGGCACTCAGAATACATAATATTGCATCGAGCCAAAAAGACCAATTCTCTTTATGGAGGAGAATAGCAATTGGCTATTACTCATTCAAGTCAATGAGCAATGACTTGCTTTCTCCTTCTGTTTCTCTTTGAATAGTAGATGAAGTTGATTCTTTTCCAAGGCTACTTCCCCCATCACCAGCATTCCTGACCATTGACCTATGTAGCTCTTAATATGCTGTACACACATTAACTGCAGTATTTAATTGCAACTGAATTCAACCTTAACAACCAATGTAGTTAACCTTTCTGTTTACTCCAAGTCAGTTCCAATCTTGTTAGTGGAATCAATTTTTCCCCCTTTCTAAACATAACAATTTTATCTGGTACAAAAACTATATATATATATATAATCCATTGGTTTTTTAAAAAATATGTTTTTATTGATTTTAGAGAGAAGAAGGGAGAGGGAGAGAGAGAAACATTGATAAGAGAGAAACGTTAATTGGCTGCCTCCTGCACATCCCCTCCTGGGGATCAAGCCCACAACTCAGGTATGTGCCCTGACCAGGAAAAGAACTGATGACCTTTTGGTGCATGGGACAATGCTCAACCAACTGAGCCACACCAGCTGGGCATATAATCCATTGGTTTTAGATTTTTCCCCAAGAGTTTCAGGCACCATGTTCTATTAGAGAAAGACATGTCCATTCATGGTAATTCCAAAAGGTGGGCTGCTATAACTACTGTACAAATGCAGTTATTGCCTCTTATGTATTTGGGAGTAATTACTGGAGGCATCGTATGTCACCTTTATTCTCAAAAAAAGTTAATTTCTTTGATTAAACACAGGTGAAAGATTATCTTTATATTTTCTGGAATAAAATATTATAAACTATACCAAAAGATGCTTTGTTATAACTATCTGTATTCAAAGGTACTCCTCCATATTCATAACTTGCTCCCATCATTTTGTATTGTAATTGCCTATTAACCATCTGTACCCCTTCAAAGACAGGAAGCTCCTGGAAGGTAGGGATTATATCATAATGACTGTTTTATCTGCAGGGCACATGGTCTGGCAGATGGTACACAATAAGTATGTTCAATAATCAGCTCAAAAGTCCAATTCTTAATTAGGCACAATTTTAGACTAACTGACACACCAATTGCCCCAACAGTTATGAAACAAGTTTTAATCAGACATTATCACAGTTCAAATAGATATGCCCAATTTCAAATATCTAATGATCTCTACCTAAACAATGAGTATCTTTATGGGAGGCAGCAGAAACAATTTTCATTTGTGAGTTTTGAATTTTTGTTGTGATTCAGACTACTAACTAGCAGATCACTTTCACAGATCACTTTAACCACACAGGATCTTGTGTCCTTAGAAATTAAAATGTGGAATGGGATTAATAAATGATCTCCAAGTACCCAAACAGATCCAGCTCTAAAACTGATTCCGCATGAACCAATAAGGGTACTACAGCTAAAGCTATAAGCCCTTGAAAACACTAGAGGGAGCTACACTCATGTCATCAATGGGCTGGTTAGGGAGATTTCAAGGCAAAGCATCCTTAAATGGAAAACTAACTTAACAAAACGGGAGATATTAAATATCAAGTGAGAGCTCCATAATGTTCATAGAACCACCCCACGCACAGGCTCTCTGCTGGCACCTCCCTCTTACAGATATCAAAGCACCTCACATCAACACATCTTCTGGGCTTTAATTCTAATTGCAAAAGAAGCGATTTGATTTGAGTCATTTATACAGATTTCTTTTCCCATACAGTCTGTTTTCATTCTTAATCAAATTAACAACAACAACAACAACAAAAGTAATTAATTAGACTACTGACAAGTCTCCAAGAAAATTATTGGAAGAGAAAGATTCATATCACACTGAAACTGTGGCCTGGAAAAATCAGTAGTTAATTGCAACTAAATTCATCAGCAGCCTGTCACTCAAACCCAAAGCGACCACAGCTACTTTGAAAACAAGAAAAATATTCAAAAAAGAGAAAGATACAATATAAGGAGAAGAAGGAATCAACATAGCTCTGCAATGTTGGGGCTGGAATGTAAGCCTAAGTGAATGCTGTCATTGCCTTGTTGGGCTCTGCAGCTGCTGGAGTGATGCTATTAAGTAGAGGCAACAGGGTCACATTAGGCATTTGGCAAGAAAACTGTCAAAGGACAAAACAAGATAAGGGAATAAAGGATGGGGTAGGGAAGGAAAAAGAAAAGCATTTCCAAAGCTCAAGTTTATTCTGAAGTTATATGCATTCTCTCTCTCTTTCCCAGCTCCAAAAAACATCCATGGCCTTGCAAATGTATGACCTAAGCCATTACAGAACAAGTGAAATGCAAACTCAAAAACCTTTCCATTGGTATCAACTTATGTTTCTCTGTGTCCAGAAACACAATGGCATGTTAACCTGAGAGAGAGGGCATAAACTATAGATATTACAGAATGTGGTCTGTGGGAGAAAGATAAATGCAATCCTGAAAAGCCCCTTTTATTTAAATTCCATGGATTAATTTAACATAGAGAAAGCACAGCCTCAACAGTCAGAACTGGACTACCTACTTTTTAGGACATGAGCTGTTCCTGAGTAAAAATAGATTATGAAGCAACTTTGGAGAGTCACTTTGTGGGAGAAGAGAAAACCTACTAGAACAAGACAAACAACTCTTTCTTCACTTAAAAAATGCAAATTCAGCCCTGGCCAGTTTGGCTTAGTGGTAGAGCGTTGGCCTACGGACCAAAGAGTTGTGGGTTCAATTCCAGTCAAGGGCACAAACCTCGGTTGTGGTTCAGTCCCCGGCCCTGGTCGGCAGGAGGCAAGCAGTCAACGTGTCTCTCTCATGTCGATGTTTCTCTCTCTCTCTCTCTCCCCCCCCCCCCCCCCCCCATTCTATCTGAAGATAAAAATGGAAAAAAGTTTCCTTGGGTGAGGATTTAAAAAAAAAGCAAACTCAGACCTCCAGAGATAAAATACAGAGTAAAACTGACCAGGTCAAAAATCAGCTTATTCCTGCCCTGGCCGGTTTGGCTCAGCAGTAAGAGCGTCGGCCTGCGGTCCTGAGAGACCCGGGTTCGGTTCCCGCTAAGGGCACGTACCTCGGTTGCAGTTTGTCCCCGGCCCTGGTCGGTTGTGCGGGTGGCAGCCACTCGATGTGTTCCTTTCACATCGATGTTTCTCTCTCTCTCTCCCTCCCACTCTACCTGAACAAAAAAAAAAAAGGAAAAATGTCCTCGGGTGAGGATAAAAAAAAAAAAAAAAAATCAGCTTATTCCTATGGATCCAAGTAGTTGGATTCTTGTTTCTTAAATCATCAATTTCAAATACTCTAGAGATACCACAACCTTAACAGAGTCCAGACAATTCTCTTTTCTTTTAGGACATTCCTTTCAGTCAACAAGCCTCATGGGAAGCATGAGAAAAATATACTGTTAAAAGGAGAAGGACCTGTTTTCCTTGCTTATTTAGGACACATGCCAATGGATTTCCAATTCACTCTGTTTCATACTGACCTTTAAAATGTTTCTGCCATCAAATGATTCTCTTTCCTTGAAGATATATTTGCCATCCGCCGTGTAGAGATTGTACCTGCCTTCAGCTGTAAATATTGCAAAGATAATGTCAGAAGAGAAGCTTGGACTATTTATGTTTGTTTTCTCTTGGATTTCTATAGGTACAGCTAGAAAAATCTCCATGTGCTATCTAGAAAGTGGCATAATATGGAGGGAAAACATCACCGTATTAATCAAGAGACCCAGTCTCTAGTTTCAGCTCTGTCATTAACACATTCAATATACATTTATTCATTCAACACTGTTTAATGATGCTAACTACATAACTAGCTATACTCTTAGTCATATATGTCTCCTCTAAGGACCTCAGTTCCTCATTTACAAAGTTACAGGTTAAGACTAAGAGATCTCCAGAGGTTCCCTGCAGTCTAAAAACCCAAGATTTTATAAAAGCTGCATGTATTTTTAAATATATAAAAATACAAAAAAAGTTCATACATTAACTAGTCATAAATGTTGGCAACTATGCTTTGGGTGACTTTAGGACATCCCCTGAATGAGGAAGACCCCTTTAGTTGCAATCAAAGGTATCTTAATAGACATTCTCCACAGAAATGCAGCAAATCTATGACCTTAGCCTCATCAAAGCTGCGCTCTAACTCCTTTAGTTAATTTAGTCAGCTTGCTTATCCCAAAAGATGTCCTTAAAGTATAGCAAGACAAGAATATCAAAGGAAAGGGATGACAGGAAAGAAAACATAAAACACCTTATTCTAGCCCAGCTGGTGTGGCTCAGTGGTTGAGTATTGTCAATGGACTGAGATGTCCCGGTTTGATTCTTGGTCAGGGCACATGCCTAGGTTGCGGGCTTGATTCCCAGTAGGGGGTGTGCAGAAGGCAGCTGATGGATGTATCTCTCTCACATCACTGTTTCTATCTGTCCTTTCCTCTCTCTCTCTTTTTTTTTTTTTATCCTCACCCGAGGACATTTTTCCATTTTTTGTTCAGGTAGAGTAGTAGGGGGAGAGAGGAACAGAGAGAGAGAGAAACATCGATGTGAAGGGACACATCGAGTGGCTGCCACCCGCACGACTGACCAAAGCCGGGGACAAACTGCAACCGAGGTACGTGCCCTTAGCGGGAACCGAACCCGGGTCTCTCCGGACCGCAGGCCGACGCTCTAACCGCTGAGCCAAACCGGCCAGGGCTCCTTTCCTCTCTCTCTAAAAAATCAATAAAAATGTATTTTTAAAAACCCACCTGATTCTATGTCCCTTTCAAGTAAGAATTCAACACAGAGAAGAACCCAGAGTATAGAAAAATCAAAGCATCCTCAAGAATTATTTAACTCAGGATATTTTCCAAAATAACCCTTTACTGCCCACCAATACTATAAAAAATATTTGTATTTCCACTTTTGAGTATGGCCTTTTACTGTATATAGGTACGGGGACTACCAAGTCAGAATTGATAAACTACATACAGAGTGCTAACTCCATGAACATAATATATTTTAGCTAGCCCACTGGAATTATGCATGGGTAACTATGGAGCCATTTCTCTAATGAGAAGTAATCTCTTTGTTTAATCCTCACCTGAAGATACTGTTTACATTAATCTTCAGATAGAGCTGGAGGGAGAGAGGGAGGAAGAGAGAGAGAGAGAAAGAGAAACATCAATGTGAGAGAGACACATTGATTGGATGCCATCCACACAACCCCAACTGGGGCAGGGGACAAACCGCAACCAAGGTACTTGCCCTTGGCCAAAATCAAACCTGGGACTCTTTGATCCGCAGGCGACACTCTTACTGCTGAGCCATACCAGCCAGGGCAAGAAGTATTCTCTTACTCAAAGATCCCAATACACTTGATATTTTACAACTTAAAAATAGTTCCCCTGTTAAAAGGAGATATACAATTTTAAAGTAAATCATATTAAATAAATATCTATCAAAAGCAGTAATCAGCCCAGCCAGTGCAGCTCAGTGGTTGAGCGTCGACCCATGCACCAGGAGGTCACCGGTTCAATTCCTGGTCAGGGCACATGACCAGGTTGTGGGCCAAATCCCCAGTGGGAGGCATGCAGAAAGTGGCCAATCGATGTGCTCTGTCATCAATGTTTCTATCTCTCTCTCCCTTCCTCTCTCTCTAAAAATCAATAAAGAAAAAAAAAATTTTAAAGCAGTAATCATATCTGAACATTGAAATGTTTAATGATAGTTTCAAAATCTAAGTGGTATTAGCCTTTCGGGAAATGGTAATCAAAACCACAATGAGATACCACTTCACAACCACAGAATGGCAATAATCAAAAAGACAGATAATAAAGACATAGAGAAATTAAAACCTTCATATACTACTGGTGGGAATGTAAAAAGGTACAGCCACTTTGGAAAACAGTCTGGTAGTTCTTCAAATAGCAAAACATAGAGTGATCATATGACCCAGCAATTTCACTCTTAAGTACAGACCCATAAGAAATGAAAACATATGCCTCCCAAAATCTTGTATATAAATGTTCACAGCAGCATTATTCATAACAGCCCAAAGTGGGAAACAACATAAATGTTTATCAATTGATGAATGGATAAGTAAAATGTGGCATATCCATACAATGGAATATTATTCAGCAATAAAAAAGAATGAAGTATGATACATGTAATAACATAAATAAACCTTTCAAACATGCTGAGTGAAAGAAGCCAGTCACAGAAGATCATGTATTACCTAACTGTATTTATATGAAATATCCAGAAAAAGCAAATTCATAGAACAGAAAGTAGACTGCTGGGGCTTAGTACTGGAGGGTTTAAAGGGAAATGGGAGTCACTGTCAAAGGTACAGGGTGTCTTTCTGGGGTGATAAAAATATTCTAAAATTGATTGTGATAATGGTTGTATAACTCTGAATATCCTAAAAATCACTGAATTATATACTTTAAATGGGCAAATTTCATAGTATGTGAATTATACCTCAAAGCTATTGTATTTAAAATATCTGTAAGTGGCCTGGCTGGTGTGGCTCAGTGGTTGAGCGCTGACCCATGCACCAAGAGGTTGCTGTTTCCATTCCTCGTCAGGGCACATGCCCAGATTATAGGCCAAATCCCCATGGGGGGTATGCAGGAGGTAGCCATTCAACGTTCTCTCTCATTGGTGTTTCTCTCTCTCTCTCCCTTCCTCTCTCTCTGAAGAAATCAATAAAAACATATTTTTTTAAATCAATAAATAAAAATCAATGGAAAAAATATCCTCTGGTGAAGATTAACCTCACCCCAAAAAAGGAAAAGTTTACTTTCTCAGCCCTGGCTGGTGTGGCTCAGTTGGCTCAGTATTGTCTCGTGCATCAAAAGATGACAGGTTCAGTTCCTGCTGAGGCACATACCCAGGTTGGGTTCGATCCCTGGTCAGGAGTGTGCAGGAGGCAACTGAGTGATGTTCTCTCAAATGATGTTTCTCTCTCTCCCTTCCTCTTTCTAAAATCAATTTTTTTAAATGTATTACAGAGATACTTTTTAAAATTTTTTTTCACTCTTCATCCTCTTTTATTTTTATTTTTTTAATCTTTATTGTTGAATGTATTACAGACGTTCCTCACTTTTCCCCCATTGACCCCCTCTACCCCACTCCCACCTCCCTCCCGCCTTTTTCCATACTGTTGTCTGTGTCCATTAGTTATACATATAAGTTCTTTGGTTTATTTCTTCCCACCCTCCAACCTCCTTCTCTTTGAGGTTTGTCAGTCTAGCAACCAATTTGTTCTTCTTAATCCCTTCACCTTTTTCACCCATTCCCCCACCCCCCTCCCATCTGGCAACCTACAAAATGTTCTCTGTATCTATGAGAATGTTTCTGTTCTGCCTGTGCATTTTGTCTGTAGATGCCATTGTTGATAGATATGTACTCATTGCCATTTTGGTTGTTCATATATTTTATCTTTTTCTTCAAAAAGACCCTTCATCATTTCATATAATAACGGTTTGGTGGTGATGAACTCCTTTAACTTTTTCTTGTCTGGGAAACTCTTTATATGGCCATCAATTCTAAATGACAGCTTTGCAGGATAGAGTCATCTTGGTTGTAGGTTCTTGCTTTTCATCACTCTGAATATTTCTTGCCACTCCCTTCTGGCCTGCAAAGTTTCTTTTGAGAAATCAGCTGACAGCCTTATGGGAACTCCCTTGTAGGTAACTAACTAGCTGCCTTTCTCTTGCTGCTTTTAAGATTCTCTCTTTGTCTTGACTCTTTTGCATTTTGATGATGATGTGTCTTGGTGTGGGCCTCCTGGGGTTCATCTTGTTTGAGACTCTGTGTGCTTCCTGGACTTGTATATCTGTTTCCTTCACCAAGTTAGAGAAGTTTTCTGCCATTATTGTTTCAAATAGGTTTTCGACTTCTTGTTCTCTCTCTTCTTCTGGCACCCCCAAGATGCGAATGTTGGCACGCTTGAAGTTGTCCCAGAGGACACTGATGTGAGAGACACATCAACTGGTTGCCACCCATACAACCCCAACTGGGGCCGGGGACAAACCGCAACCGAGGTATGTGCCTTTAGTGGGAACCAAATCCAGGACTCTCTGGTCCATAGGCCAACGCTCTGACCACTAAGCCAAACCAGCCAGGGCGGAAATCTAGAACTTTTAAAGATCCCCAATTTTCTGCATTTGACTCCTGTAGCAATTAGAAAGCACAGTGAAGCCCGTAAAGATTTCTGCACTGAGTGGCCAGCAGCACTAGACAGTAATGAGAACTGCCAGAAGTCTTTTCCAATTGAAATTGACACAGCTGACTATGTTTCATCAGGACCATCTATTCAAAATAGATGTAGTAGTAGTAGAAGTAGTAACTTTACGGGTTAAACTTTCTAGTTTGAATTTAGATGATTATGCAAAGAAGAAACTTATTAAATTTGTAGAAGAGCAATACTGCAAGACCACAGATGTGGTTATCATCAAAACAGATGCCCTTTAAAGAGACAAAATTATGATTAAACAAAGTATACCTATAAGAGTATATACAGACAAACAACTCCTCAGATAAAAATTCCGGAAACACTTCTCCAAATTAAAGCCATAGAGGAAAACC